CAAGGCAACGGATTAACATGAGACCATGAGACCGATATGTTAACTTCAATTACTAGTCAAAGAACATTACATAGAATTATAGACTAAACAACACACAAGGGAGTTTTATTTATGATAGAAGACACTAATATGGTCCATTACAATGACTAAAATTGACACTATATAAATAGCAGTAGTATTTGTTTTTTTTTTTTGTTTTTTTTGCCAACTGAAATCAATTCATATAAAATCTTAGTTCATGAAAAAAACACAAATAATGCATTTATTTGTAAAAGAATAGGCCTATACATTTAATTCTGCCAAGGTAATCACAAAGTTAATGCCAAATCCCATGTATTGGAAAGTCTGTGTCTGTGTCTGACATCAATGGAATTCAAGACACAATTGCACTTCCCACACACTTGGTAGTTTTGTGGCTTTTACACTTGCTTCCCAAAGTTACATTCATCAGTTCCTCAAACAATATTAGGCTATTGGGTTGTTAATTAATATTTTAAATATTGCTTGATCCTATTTTGAAAGTTTGTATTATACACCTGAGCTTTTGGGTTTTGATACATATATCGAAAGCAGGTTTTTCGAAACATGCATGATCTTTTAATTTCAAATATTTTTTTTAATTGCAATATCTTTTATATTATGAAATGTTAACAGCGCCATTATGTGCTTAAAATGTAAATACTACTGTGACGGGTAGTCACCAAAAATTATTTTCTAAAATTTGGGATTATATTTCAAAAGTAAAAGACCTGGTAAATGGATTTCACAATGCATATACCAGTGTCAGAACATTGGCATTTAGTAGACAGAATTCTTGATGACACGTAGCTTGCTCAATCGACCGACCCACAAAAACCGTAGACTTAGCAATTGTACTTTGGAGAGACTGAGGTCGGAGTTGACCGAAAGGAAGACACTTGGCCCCAGACTGTCAAAGGGGACACTTCGCCGGTCTCCGGGTTTTTGGTAAGGCGATTACTTTATTAATATTTAACTTTATAATTTTTGTGATTGTCCAGGCTAACTTAACCTTTTAAAGTCAGTGATTGATTGATACTAATCGTAATCAATTTTATAATAATTGATTTCATTTATAATTTGTGTGAATAAATATAGTGACTATTAAATTCCTGTTTGAATATATTAACGTGTCAAAAAGAATTATAATTATTAGAGTTTGATATATAAATTTCATTTGCTTAGGCCTACTTAAATAAAAGGAGCCTGTAATTATTTTATCATCCATTTCTATTATTGTCTTTATTATTATCTTTATCATATTGTCCATCCACTTTATTTGAATAATGATTAAACATTCTTTTACCTCTCACTAAAGAATTCTTATTATTTTAAATCGATCCCGGTTACGGTACGCCCCCGGTCACAATTGCAATCGTGGCACTACTTTTTAATCCCCTTTTGCAAACACAATCTTGTGGTACAGTTTAAAAATAAAGACTAGGCCTTTACATTTTAACGAATAGATGAACGCTTTTTCTAAATATGATACAAATTAGGAGCTATTTTGGTTTACAGCTTAAATTGTTAAAAGTATTTTTGTAATTCCATTTCAGTTTGATAATTAGCATGTTAGTTTAATTTGTAAACGTAAAAAAATGTGGTTTTAACTGTTTTATTCCCTTGATATGGGCGAACGAAAATACTAAACTTACATTTCGTGGGTGGTTTATGAAATACTGTTTCACGTGGAACCAAATCTGATTGAAATCTCAGGATAAGAAATAAACTGAGGTGGTTTTCTTGAGTGAAACCTTAGGCAACAAACATTTTCGAACCTAGGAGAAAAATCCAATTTAGGTCAAACTGTAATTAAGTTCTTTCAAGAGCTTCCGTTATGAGTTTTAGGAAACTGTTCAGAAAGTAAAAATAAAAAAATCTTCAGCTAATAACAGTTTTATCAACCTCACTCTAGAGAATACTCTGTCATAATAGTTATAGAAACTAGTTAATTTTATAATTAGAACATTATTATTACTATTGAGTATTGACTTAATTTTAAAACCAACAATTTTACAATAAAACAGCATTTTTGTTGATTTGAAAAGACTTGAATTGAGGTACTGTTTATCATACCTCCGTGGCCACTGAAACCTTAAGAAGATTCTTGCCTCCAGTTGTCTTCTATACCCGCCTCTTCTAATGTAGATCCCAGTCAGGATATGTCTTTAATTACTTATGCTCTTTCTTCCACTTCACTCTTGGTCTTCTACCTTGTGATACTACAGGGTGTTTATAAAAAAACTTTACAACTTTAAACAATCATAAAACCTTTATTTTTTCACTTACAGCTATGAAACAAAAATTAAAATTTAGGAAATTTTCTCAAGTTTTATTTACATGATAAGAAGTTTACCTAACTTCAATGTGTTTCCCGTTGTTTGCTCGCAAAAAATCAAGTCGACATTCCAGTTCTGACCAAACACGACGCAAAATTGAATGATCTATTTCATCAAACGCTCTCCTGATCTTGTGGGTCTTGAAGGAGGATTCCTATTATATCTTGTCCGAAATCTCCGTTGAACAACAACATCAGATTTCGTTTCAATGAACCACTCCACACACTGCGCTTTGATTCGTGCTTCCATTGCGATGCTAATGAGACTTTTCAATTATTTGTTTTTGTTTACCAAACAACAATGTAAGGCCATCAGCTGATTGAACTGCCAGCTGATTAAAACTTTTTGAGCAGCCCTTTCATGTGGTGTCAATAGGAAACTTATGTCCCATGGATCATGAATGGGAGAATGTTAAAGTTGTAAAGTTTTTTTATAAACACCCTGTATTAAGAATACACTTTTAAACATATGGAGGATACACTGCAGCCTGATTTTAACTTCAGAGGTTAAAGGTTACAGTGAATTACTAGACAGACAGTGGTCATACACTAGAATCTATGATCCCAAAACAGTTATTATATTTTTATTACATACAGAGTGTCCAGCTTCAATGTGGGAATCTTGAACAAAATGTATGGTGAAAAGAAGGGGATTAATAATACAATTTTAAAAATGCTATACATTTCATTCTTCATACAGTCATTGATGTAATAATTTATATCCGTTAAATTTCATTTTTCAACTCATCTCTGTACATCATACATTGAGTTTTGTCAACAGAAGTACAGGAGAAAACTGAAAATACATTAAAACTATTCTTTACAATGTAGCTTAACAATAGGTTATTTTCCCATGTTGGATATAAGTAGAAACTCATTCACTGATCCACTCACCCTATAATGGGTATACAAATGCAACACGTTTATTCATACAATACAGTGGCTTTCAGTTTACTAACAATACTTACAGTGAAAGCAAGTACGTACTGAAGTAGTCACTAATGAGACGGACATTCATAGAACACAATGGGAACAAATTTAATTAGAAACCTTTTTATAATAGATTACTCCACTTAAAAATGAAATAAGGCAAATTATTATTTTCATCTACTATTACTTTTGTTTTTGTGTTCTTACTTGTTGAAATTTAAGGTGGTCCTAATAGTCGTGTTCGCATATTAGTTGATAATTATTTAACTTTACCATGTAAATTTCGATCAATCAATATAGACCTAAACGTGGATGATCTATGGTTTGGTTTTACATATCTCTACTAGATAATTCATTGGTTTAGTTTTGTTAGCAAACTATAATAGACAGTAATCTAAGAATGATAGCAAAGGTAGCATAAGTATTTAAAGTTCAATTTTTAATTTTATGATAGTTTAAATTGAAAATATATGAACTAAAATTAAAACTCGTACAATATTGTTTAATACAGTGGAACCTTGATAAGTAGACCCTCAATAACAAGTGGCCCTTGGTAACTAATGTCATTTTTAAATAATCATGATTTTATATTGCCCTTAAATGCATGTTATTGCAAACCTCTATAAGGAGTCAACCTTGATAAGGAGTCATATTTGATCATCCCCATAAGGGTCTTCTTATCAAGGTTGTAAAAGATTATGGTACTTAAGGTGTATTTTAAGGTAAGATTATGGTGTAAGGCTATGGTACTTTATCTGCTGTACTTACATATCATGATGAAGCCCAGACATAATTAAAGCTTCAGCTCTCAACAGGTTTGAGGCTTTGGCTATGACTTACTAACTAGAGTGGTACTTTAAATACATTGGTTCTGAACCACTGGATCACATTACCACATGGTCAAAGGCCAATAACGACAAGCAGAATACAAACTCTGTGCCTCTAGTATAGAGTGAGGCTGAGATCACATTGGACGCACAACTGCAAGCTTGCGAGAACGGCGATGTGCTCACACTGATTGCAAGCAGATGCAAGTTAATTATAATAAACATAGAAAGTGGTATGTTGAAGTCTTTATTGTTGGATGAACAAGATATTAGGGAAAAGTGGTAAACGAGTATTTTGTGAACAGAGAGGAAGATTATTTTGATGGAGAGTATGCTGAGAAAACTTGAGAAATTTTTTCACTGGGCCTATTTTAGAATGGCGCCAGATACTTTCATACAGGCCAAAAGAACACCTACACTAAGCAGGCAATGTAATTATAGCATGTCACTTTCACTCGACTCATTGTCAAGGTATCCAACTGAACTGAGATCCTGCTACTTGAGCACGCTTGCAACTATGAAACAAATAGTTTTGTTTTGGTTTGGAGTCTGAGTAAACTTGTGTAAGCGTTCACTTGCTGGTGGCAGACAGCATGAGCAGCAATGGACAAGTCACCACTTGTTTTGTCAATCTCGTCAGATTTTAATTCAAGGCGCAGTCTTGCGCACGTGTGAGCCACCAAATTACTTGCGCAAGCGTGCGTCCAATGTGACCTTAGCCTTAAGTTCAACATTTTAACCACTAGACCAGTGGCATTGTGCCCTTGGTTAATAAATAAATGCATTTTATCAATAAAAAATATCTATAATTTTTATTTCCCTATTAAATTGAGAACTAAAATAATATTTAAATATGATAATTCTATTTTCATAAAAAGTATAACTATTACAAGTACTATCTTAACAAGAAAAAGTTAAAACAGTAAACTATTTCCAAAACTTCACTATTAGAAAGTGAAACAACGAGGCTTAACTATAAGTCACAGAGTGCCTGAGAGCTTGATCAGAGTCAATCTTTTCGGTTGCAGAACAATTAAAACAGCTGTTCCCAAAGTTTACCCAGCATTCCACACAGCAGTAAGAATCACACTTTGTACACTTGTGGTGTTTAGGTTTCCAGAATACAAGGAATGGCTCATTTTCCTCGCAGATCACACATACTGGACGAGCTGAAGAGAAGACTCTCAAGGGAAAGTTCCAAGGCTGTGGTACGCTTGTGCAGATGCGATAGAGACATCTTTCGTTATACTGGAACCAGTCATGAAAGAATATAGATTATTTTTTATTAAATCTGAAGATTTACAATTATTACAGTAGAGTTATCTGACTTTTGACTATTTTACCCTCACTGCATGTGATCTTGTCCCACAAAAGCTAGGTATGTGGTAGACCTATTAGTTATCAATAGTAGCACAGGTTAAATGATGATTAAAAATGAATTAAATTATAATTGAAAAGACATCCATACACAAATCCCAAAGTCAAACTTCATAAACCATACTTAAAATGTTCATGACGAGAAACCTAGCGCAAAACTATCCATTATTTCATAAGTTGCCCTTTAAGGTCGTAATTCCTTTCTAAAGGGAACTTTTCATGTACCTAATGTTAATAATACTTCATTTTTACATTTTTGTATGTTATTCTATCAATTATAAAAATCAGGTGTAATTATTTGTTTGTATTGCTGTACTCTGTTTTATTTATTTCAGCTTCCAATCAATCATCAGTTTTATTAATACTTATGAAGGCAAACGGGGTGAAGCCCGTGGGTAATAGCTATTATATCATAATGTACGTTTTTACAACTGAATAAGCAAGTCCTTTCAAGCAATGAAAAAAACATTGTTCATTGAAATAAAAGTTTCTGTATAAAAGTAACGTTTTACTTGTAAATAAATAAATCAACATAGTAAACTTAAGCATTGTAATTTGAAAGTGGACTCTAAATATGCGTAAAGTTGTGCATGAACAAACCAGAAAAAGCTTTCAGAACTGCATAGCCTTAGTCCGAGGGAATAGATTTTTACATGCGTTGCTGTATAAAATAAATAATAGGGATTACCATTGTTTCATTGTTTTTCACTCTCTTAAATATTTCTTCTATTTGTCCTTTGAGCATTTTCCTTCTATCATATATGTTTCTCCTATAGAGTGTCTCAATTCTTTTCTTCTCTTGCTACAAGTAAAACATACCATCAAAAAGTTGTTGCTGGAAACATATCTTTGATTCATCTTCCTTTAAACAGGTAAAATGCTTAATAATTGCATAATAAGCCGACAAGATTTGGCTTTTTGCAATGTTTCTATAGCAAGGGCGATAGGATGAAAATACACCTTTTTGTTGAATAGATTCTCACTGTTTATTTTGATACCATAACTGCTCTTAACTCCTTTAGTTTCAACTTAACATATCATATTCCAAAAAACTTGCATAAACTACTTTTTAAGACAAAAATATTGTATGAGCTTTGAGCTTTATTAAAAACAAAATAAAACATACAATTAATTGTTAGTTTAACATTATTAAATTAAAGTGTACTAGATTCATTTCATACTCTATTATAAAGGATTTATTCAATTGTATTATACCTAGTAAAAAATCAACTTACTTCACGATAGTAGAAAGCACAAATGGCTCTTCTGAGTCTTTTTAAGTACCCCTCAGAGTATGTCAGAAGACATAAAAAAATACAAGTTCCGTACAATTTTATGTAGGCTTTCATGCCAAGATGCTTTGCAACTGGTAAACATGCTGCAACAAATATAAATTCAATTAAAAGAACATTTTCTGAAAAAGATTAGTGGGTTTAAGAAGTATAGTACAGTAATTATTGTAATAACTCATTTGTTGGTTTTTTTTTACATTTTGTAATAAAAATTATTTACAAAAAATTAAAATGATTTGTTATACTATATTGTTAAAAATACAACAAACTTTATCCAGTTAGTTACAAAAAATTATACTGCTTTTTATACAAACATTTTATTAATGAACTTATGTTGTGGATGATGCATTTTTTCACTAATCTATCATATCCGTCAAATTTATGGAGGAAATATTGAAAAATCTATATAAAGCAAACTGAATTTGAGGATCTATGAAGGGGCTCAGACAATTAGTAGATGTAGCAAAGAAAGAGGAATAAAAAGGAAAAAAATCATAAAACAGAAGATGTTACAGACACTCAAAAATAACATTTCAGTAGGGATGGTTGAGACTGGATTTTAAGTTTGAGACAAGATCGAGGCAGATTCTTTTTTCTCTTCATAATTCGATGCAAAATTATAGATCTCAATACTATCAGGAATTATCCGTTTACACAGATTTACAATAGTTAATAAGTAACAATAGAGCACTATTAAAATAACCGCTTAGATACAATAACTAATTATGTATTACAAAGGTTGATACCAAATAATGAGTGGACAGAAGAACAAAAGCTTACAGGAACATAAATAGTTATCAAAATATATAATATGAAAAAATTTAAATAAAATAAGACATATTTTATTATGTAAGATTATAACATGCACACCACAACTAACTGTATTACAACCAATACAGTCTATAAGAGACAAAAGAAAATTGTAGTAGCTTGTGTGGTGTTACTTCTGATCTCAGTCCTAGTGCATCCCCGCAACCAAGGTCATAACGGATAAACAAATTACAGCATAAACAGATTTTACCGATTGATGTACATGGTTAAAAACACCTTCTATACAAGTCCCTACAATACCCGCAGTACAGGAGCGCGTTGTTATTGCGTTTCCTTTGCGAAGGTGTTCAATTTTTTTTTTTATAACATCGTCTCAAAAATGTCTTGGAGCAAACCCATATTCTTGCTCGATCTAACAAGATTTTTTTATATTTGAGATGTATTTCACAAAACAAGTATACGGAAAGAAATTAAGAGAATATTTCAGTGGAAATTTGATCAGGCAAATGGAAATTAGCTGTCAGCAGGTTTTTTGCAGAAGAGGTTTTCCTAAATCCAAGAGAATAAAAAAATTGTGTAGAAGTTGTCAAAAGGGAATTTATGTGGAGACATATGGCAAGTCTAAGATGAAATTCATTAAATTAGTTATACATTTTTAAATCCTGTATCAGTCAGTGAATTTTCAAACAGTAGGCCTAAAAATATTTTAATTAATTTAAATAAATTCAATGTTTTATCATTCAATACAAAACAGGCTAGATTAAAATTACAACCAAACATTCAGCTAGATGGATAAAAAATTATTCAAGTAAACCATACAAAATTCCTTGGATTAATACTGGACGAGAATTTGAGTTGGGATAAGCAACAAAAGTCATGTAGTAAATAAAATGTCAACTGGCATATACGCTCTGAGACTAATGTCTCATGTATGCGATATTGGCACTATGAAATCAATCTATTTTGCTCTGATCAACTCGCATATAGCTTACGGTATTGCTATATATGGCGGGACTAGCAATAAAAACCTCAAAAATGTTCTGAAACAGCAAAAGAAAGCATTATGAATAATTTTTAATATAAAAAATAGAAAGTCAACAAAATAATATTTTTCCAAATAAGGCATCATGACTGTTTATGACCTATAAATATTTGAAACCATTTTACATGTAAAAAAATCAAACACAAAAGTACAGCCGAAAATCACATAGCCTACATACAATAGAACCACATAAATTACAGGTTTTTTTTTAAAAGAAAACTACTTTTATTGGTACTAAATTTCTTTATAATCTGCCTAAAAATATAATATTCTTTGTGAAGAAAAATATAACAGTTTCAAAACCCGCTTTAAAGAATGCCTATTGACTCATCCTAACTTTTCAAGTAAAGATTTTTTAAATTTAAGGAATGTAAAATACATGTTTTTGTATTAGTGTCATACAACAACATACAATTATTTGTAACTATCACATTTTATGTAGTTATAAAATTTGACCCTGTTTAATGTATTCATGTAAATACTAATGATGAATAAAGATTATTTGATTTGATTTTATACGATTGAAGCTCTGCTGGGAAACTGGAGGTGCTAGATTAATGATGATGATGAAGAAGAAGTGCAAAATCTAAATGAGAATGCAAGGCTAATTTATTGCTGGGACTTACCTCTGTTACTGACTTCTCCTTTCAGTTCTTTGTTAAAGTTGAAACTTTGGATAATTGATCTAACAAGGGAAGCTACAAACCCAATTCCTTCAACATCAATTTTAAACTTGTGTTGTCCTTTAACAACAAAATAATAATGCTAAAAATTTGAATATGTACCTGCATTTATGCAGTCCACAATGTTGCTATAGGGCAACCAGTTACAACCATACCAAGTAGTTATATTGAGGCATACTAAAATGTTGTATTTCTATTGATAAAATTGATAAATTTTGTATCAAAGTACAATTTAATTCAATTTAACATCTTTGGTTTATGATTATATAATTTATTCGGTTTGATTCAACCAGTTGTAAGGAAGATTAATAACTTATTAAAATGCAAACAAAGTTTATGGAAATACAAAGTTTATACCGTAACTTTAATCACTGTTTTGATTTTTTCACTGTTAAGGAGACCAAGCACTGCTATTTATAAAAGCACCACTTAGAGCATTTTAAAGTCCACAGGGCGTTGCCTGAGAGGATCATGATAATCCCGTCATGATAATCGTAAGGACATCATAAGCCATGTTGGACGGGTTCATGATCTACTTTTACGTAAATAAATAACAGCCCATTATTGGCTCACCTAGAACAATTACACAGGCACACAAATAAAAAGCACCCCATCTTTATAACATGATAGATTTTAGTATCACATACCTTGTTCTGAATATGAGAACTCCAAATTGTTTTTTATCCAATCCAAAGCTTCACTCAGAGCGAAATCAATCCCAAGAACAATTGAGCAAACAAGTATCAGAGCACATATTAGCCAAAACTCTTTGTTCTGTAACATTAGATTAATGTATGTACTATCGGACAGCTAGGAAAACAGTTAGTTTCTTTGATACTTTTTGGATATAAATTCATTCATACAAAATATATGACCACAACTATTGAAATAAAACTTAACTATTAAAAATAAAACTCTGCGATGTGAAATGCGCCACAATGCATGCAAGTGCTGTTAAGAGGAGCTAGATTGTGAGAAACAACACTCAACTCAGTCTAAAAATCTTTGATGATTAAGAAGATCCAAAATAACAGGGCAGTCCAAGATCCAAGATCACTAACAGACAAGTGGAGACTCCTGAGAAGAATAAATAGGAGGTTGTAGAACTACATGATCTGAGGTTGTAGATAATGAAGATTCATTAAAGCAAGAAGGATCTGTTGAATGGGATGCTCAGAGTAAAGTGTTTAGAAACATGGTGCAAAGTGGGGGAAAAATGCAAATATGGATGAGGAGATGGAATACCTGGTGAACTTTAAGAGGGAGAGACTGAAAAGTTCTACATCAACAAAGTGAGCCGAATGAAGTGAAATTGGGACAGGGTGAGTCGGTGGCTCAGTCGGTAGCGTCGCAGACTTCGGGCCCAAGGCAGTAGTGTCGTGGGTTCGGATCCTGGTCACTGCCACTAACTTTTATCAGTACAGTTCACCTTTGTACCGGCTCACCCCTTGCTTTGCTGGATACGTTCAACGCACAGATCTGTAGTCTATGTGGACGGGCAAATGCAAGGTTAAAAGAGGCCGCCAACCTCTTAAAAAAAAACAAAAAAAAAACATGGACAACAAGGCCTGACAGAAGAAAATGTAACTACATAATAAGTAAGAATAGACTGAAGTATGATATGTATCTCCAATATTATTTAAAGGATTTTTAGGATTTTCGTGTGCAGCATATCGACCCCTAAATATTTATTTTTATAGGCATATTGAGTATCAATTTAAAGCTCTATTCTCTGATGTGCATTTTGCCGGTTTGGATGATATCCCGTGAAAGCACATGTCCTATAGGCTTTAAAATTTCATAGTTTGTGCTGAATTAGTCTGTTGTCAATAATCTGAACTTTTTCAAGAAAACATTTGTTTACAAACAGATGGCAATGATACAATTTTGTTTACATCCATACGAAAATGGGGTTTTCTTTAGTTGGTGATCTTTAAGTGAATTGAAGTAAAATGTTGTAATATTATTTGTATAAAATGTAAAGAAGAAAATGATTTATGCTAGATATTGTATTGTGATAGGATTTTGTGTTTTCATAGTATGTTTTATTGATGTTTTAGGGAATTCAAGTAAACTATTGTAATGTTATTTGTTTAGATGTAAAGAAGAAAATGACTTGCGTTAGGTTTTCTGTTTTCATTGTATGTTTCATTAGTATTTTTAGTATTTCTTAGATGCCTCGAAGAAATCGTGCATACAATGAAAATAATAGGGCTTGCGGTGCAAATAATAGGAATATGATGAGACATAATTGTTTTCACCCTTATCAACTATACCCATATCAAATATATACGGATTTTGAAGTCACAAAGTGACACAGGCTGCTAGAAGTTTTAAATATGTCATGTATCTAATATTAGTATCTTGTATCTAATGAAGTATTGTTAACTGACCTAGACTAGTTATTGATCTGACCAAGTGAGGTGGCATGCTTCTTCTTATTCAGGAGGTCGGGTTGTGAGGGGCTCCTCAATAATGGTCCTGACTAAAGAGCCAGCTGAACTTAGTCAGTATTAGAGCTCTTATCTCATACATTCAACACTCATTCTCCATTCATCTTTGTTTTGGGTGTCAGCATCGTAAAAATCTAATCTATTCCAAACATATCTGACATATTGAACTGTAGGCTACTACTAACCAAACCAGACTTTTCTGCCTTTGACAGTGACAGACTGTATGGATCAGCTGTCAATCTTCTCTCGACTTTGGTCTGTGGAAGCAGTGTTGATTTGCTGTGTTTACGGCGTCGGGCATCCAAAACCCTATAATCTGCTGTTATATAAATGTTATCATAGTCTGTGAATCGTAGGTAGTTATTGTGGTAGGTTTGGGCACTGCAACAAAAGCAATCCAATTATGAGCTGGAAAATATCAGAGAAGAGGCTGGGTTGGTAACTAAGTAATCATCTCATCAATGATTATTTTCATTCATCACCATTAATTTTCGAACTATGGTATTGTTACACTTGAAACTTATTGCCAACTCAACCAAGCCTTTGTTATAAGAAATTAACAAAATACTTGCTAAGAAAGAAAATTGGAAAAAAAATATCAACATTCTTTATTTAATTACCGGTAGTGATAGAAACAAGAGCTGTTTGTAAGTTAAGGTCATTGAACTTCTGACGAGACCAGAGAGCTGGTTCATATCTGAGACCAACGCTGTGTTGTTTATGTAGTTCACAACAACTCCAACCAGCAGTTTCTACCCCTTTAAGATGATTTGCCTTGTCTAATAGCCGAAAACGATAGAAGGGAATATCACCCTTCCCACTATGTAATGAATAAGATAAACCCATATTTAAATTCATTGGCAATTAATATATGTGTATGTAAGAAACTGTTTAGACATATGACATGTGCACGAGAGGTTTAAAGAATTCTCAGAAGGCCATACATATTCGCACAAACAGGATGGCACCGAGCATTCAACAATTTTCATCCGGTCAGAAGTCTATAGTCTTATAGAGCAGTCGCCTATCAGTTCAATAGGCTCTCGTTCAATCACAACACAATCCATGAACAAAACTAACCCCTGGTCACTGCTTCTAGCGAAACTGATAAAAGACTGTCATACACCATTGTGCAAATGATTATAACTAGGCTACCTCTGTACCCCTCAACCACTTCATACTTTACTCCATTCACATCCACCAACTATTAATATTTGGTGGACGCCTTACACTACAGAAATCTTCATAATTGGTGGGAGCGTAGATTTTCCTTCACTTCGTATTTGACTAATTTGATGAGACCAATCGCCCAATAGGGGTGGGAACCAGCTAGAACAGTAGTGCATGATATAAAATACACAAGTTGTTCTCGACTTTGAACTGGCTTGTTTGACCACATCAGCAGTTCAATAATGACTGTAATTTACAAATAGCTCTTGTAATTCTATCTTGTGTATGATAATAGAGGTAAGTAACCTTCTAACCTAATCAGAAAGATTTCAAAAATCCACACATTAGTTATGTTTAAAAATTATACCTCATAATTATCTCACCTGAAAATTACCATTATAAACAAAAAAGCAAGAAAAGTTCTCGTAATGGTCAAGAAGGCATCGGCTAAAGTCTTTTTTAAATAAATTTCATGAATGAATTCTTTTGTAATTGAAACCACTGAGTGAAGTCCAACCTGAAAGAAGTTCATGGTTGTTTAGGAAAAGTAGGCTATATGATGGTTCTAAGTATTACTCGTATGTGTAGTTCAATGTCTTCAACGGTTTTTGTTTTAATTTATATTTGTTTCATCTATGAATAAAATAATAAAAGTGTTATACTGCTTAAGCAAAAGAGTTTAAAGAAAGACCAAAATTTTGCTGTTCACAATGATACAAAATTTCTCGGTTTGTACGTAGATTCAAATTTAAATTTGAACAAAAGCATGAAAATTTAATTAGTAGACTGAATTTGGCTTGTTATTAAATTATATGTTTAACCCTAGATCTGGCGGTCATTTTATTCACCAGTGGCGGGTATATTTTGGCACTTTTGTAGTGGTATCATATATTTTGCCACAGAATATTTATTTGTGAATATAAGTACACACATATATATATTTTCTATTTCAGTGATGATTTTAGAATGTAATAATGTAAAAATATTCTTTTCCTAGCAATGCGTTTAGGCGTAGTAGCAAAAGGTTTGCAAATCTTTGGATTATGCAAATTAGAAATTTCAAAAGCAACCCACAAGAAAACCACAAAATAATTTTTTTACACATTTTATCTAAATGTAAAAGTTGTGTGAAATATGATTCCCTAAGTAGAAATATCAATGTTTTTTTTAATACTCATAAAAATAAAATTATAAAAAAATAAATTCTACATTCATATTTTCTTTTTTGAAAAACTACCAAATTTCTTTTTGTCACGTAGGAAATAATAGAATGCATAAACAAAAAATGAAATGGTACTGTACAATAGGTAATAAAAAGATCTATCTGAAAATATATAGTTATATTTAGTTGAATTCTAAAATGTCGGAGAAATTTACGTCGGAATGTAAAATTTTGAAGATTTTTTAACAAAAACATAATATTTATGACATTTTTAAAAACAAATACAATTTTTACAATCAACCTTATAGATTCACAGGGATTGTAGGGAATTTATTGTAGTTTCAGAATAATGTACTAATATTGTATACAAGTTAATTGACAATCACCAAAAACAGCTGTTTTTGTAGTCAGGTGACCAAAACTTACCACCGCCAAAATCGATTTTGAACTCTCTAGTTTTTCAAACTATGTTTCTCGCTACATAATACTCACTCAATAATGTTTTATGCATGAAAATGAATCCTCAGAATCTCACCTTTCTAATGGTATAAGATTTATTGCGTTTTAAAACTGTTTTCATATTTTAATAATAGAAAAAACCCGACCCTTGTCAACTTGGTCTATAATCGACCAGCGCCACTGAGAACTCACGTTTTAGTGGTCGAAAATCGACCAGCGCCAGATAGAGGGTTAAAAAACACTATTGACTTAAAAACTCGTTGGATGTTATACTATGCATACTTCTATTCAATTCTTCAATATGGAATATTTTGTTTATCCCAATTTTATTTTTATAGTTTTAGTTTATTTTAGTCTTTTATTATTATGTACTTTGACTAATTTAATAAATTAAATTGTGCACATAATGTTGGCTGTGTAGTGTATATTTATTACTGAATAAACTTCACATAAACATAAATAAAAACAACAACAAATAATTAACTGATCAGCTGGATTAAATAGGGACAGTCTTTGGAAATATGTATCAACTCTCCCCGCCTAAATTTCACATTTTAGAAGCTGATCGATATGAGGTGTTAGGGCATATAGTAGTGTATATACTTTACCTTTATTATCAGGTTCTTGGTTATTTAGATACAAAAATACTTCCAGTCTTCTTATGAAGTTTGTGATAGTTTCTTCGGGGTGATATGGTGTGAAATTAATTCTCCCTGATGTGTTACATAAATGTGTACTGGGTGATGAAGATGAAGAGGTGTTAGAGTTTTTCTGTTCAACAGCTAGCATCATTTCTTGAAGTGTAGTTGTAATCTGTAAATATTCATCTTCCATACTGCATCTGCATTCAATTTCTCTACTAAGCTCATCCAAATCTGTGCGTGAATCTATTTCATCTTGTATTTGTTTGTACTTTGTCCAGTATTCGGTAACAGTTTTGAGCTTTACATTTAGTTCTGTCGCCGTTGGTTTGCCTTTTAATAATCTGCTTGAGTAAATTGGCCTTTGACCACCGTTCTTGCTTTGATTAGTTTCTATAGTGTCTGTTCTTCAGTCATTTTGTTTTCCTCGTCGCCAATATTATGTACTTTGACTAATTTAATACAATTAAATTGTGCACATAATGTTGGCTGTGTAGTGTATATTTATTACTGAATAAACTTCACATAAACATAAATAAAAACAACAAATAATTAACTGATCAGCTGGATTAAATAGGGACAGTCTTTGGAAATATGTATCATTTATAACTCCTTAGTCTTAAGGTATTTGTATTTTGACAATATGACCTGTTTTGTAGCATTGCTATATTATGAAAACGTCGATTTATTTATTTCATACAAACCATATTAGTTAAGGTTATATGTAGTTATTGAGCTTTCTGCGATGACGTAGAACCATTCTCAGCCTGCCCCTTTGATGCCGTTGTCAACGCGGGCGCGGTTTACCCCAAACGTAGTAAATTATAACTTTGAAAAAAAAAGTCAGATTCTTACCCCTCGACGGGTTTTGGGACGTTACAAATACAAGATTGAATAAATTATATTGAAGATATTGCCAATTATTAATTAAATGTATAACTAAACTTATATGTTCAACAAGGCCAATATAAAATAAAATTATTTGTTTTATTCACAAGCGCTTTCAGAAACTATATGTTTCTATCGTCAGGCTTTGTTTTTCAACACCAGTAAAAAAAGTAAATATTAACTTAATAATAAATTAATTTGAAACTAAGTTAAAACAGATGATGTAAAAGATATTGGAAAAATATAAAAAAAATAATATTAGAAAAAATAATCTTTTGAATTTTGTATAAATTACAGTGTTGTTCTGGATGTAATTATTTTCAGAAATTCCGAGTTTATAATTGGGCCGTCAACCGCAGTTATGTACTTGAGAATGAGATTGGATGTCCGGCTAACTTTCCGAGAACAGATAATGTTTGCGACTGAGAAAGCGGAAAGGATTGTTGCCAATCTGAGCAGGCTGATGAGGAATATCGGTGGACCAGTTGACAGCAGGCAGCGAGTTCTGATGTCCGTTGTTCACTCCGTTCCTCTTTTCGGATGTGAGACATGGGCAGAGGCACTCAAAACAAAAGACTAAGAAGAAAGATGACAACAGTCCAGAGGAGAAGCGCTCTTTGGATCGCCTCGGCGTATTGTACAGTGTCAGAGCCAGCGGTCCTCGTAGTTGCAGGGGTAATTCCCATTGATCTCCTTGCTTTTGAACAGAAGCGGATTTTTGATGGGAACGGTGACTCGAGCCGTACTGAAGCCCGAGAACGCACTACGGAAGATTGCGATATCGCTGGGAGAGGGATGAACGATGAAGATGGACAGTGAGACTCATTGGGGATCTCCAAAGGTGGGTTGAGCGAGAGCACGGAGAGGTAGACTTCTATCTCACCCAACTGCTCACCGGGCACGGCTTTTTCGGGGCCTACCTTCACAAGATGAGGAAGATAGAGAGCCCAGAATGTCAGTATGGTGATTCCGACTACGATGATGTGCAGCATACCTTTTTCCTCTGTGTGAGGTGGGAAATACTCAGAAGGACCCTCAAAACGGTCGTTGGACCGGTTTTGTCGGACACACTCGTCCAACTGATGTTGTCCAGCCCTGAATCGTTGAATACTGTTTCTGCATTCTCCATTGGAGTGCTAAAAGTGAAGAGAACCAAACAGCTGTGATGCACCAGTGCAGCTGAACCCGGTGGATCATTGTGGCTGAAATGCCATCTCTGGCATACGAAGGCACCCTTTTGAAGTACAGTATTGCAAATAGCGTTTCTGAGAGGGTTTCTATTGCCTGGACCGATAGGTTTTAAGTGGGTGAGAGTCCCACACACCAGGGTAAAAAACATCTTTAGATCCTGACGGTTCAATAAGCATTTCCCTATCACAAAAAAACATTAAATCCATTTTTTGAGAGGATAGCAGGCTTACCTAAATGGGAAAGAGTCCAAACTGGCACAAGAGACACAAAACTTTACACTAAGCCTATATACAGTAAACAGTAAAATATTCTAATGTTTTGTGTAGATAGTGTAGGCTACAGTAGAACCACTAATATCTGGCCTCGGAAATTGCACATTCCTGCTCATGTATACATTCCTTACATCCTCGGTTCATCCGGTCACTTCCCGGAATCGATACCAAAAATATTTCCCTCGGCTGTACATGTAGTCTCCATGATTTAAGCGTTCTCACGTTTTATCTATTTCCTGTTCATATACATTTTAAGTGGGTTCACTACTCAGTTGAACTATCAAATTTGAAAAAGAGACTCCTAAAACCCATTTAAACAATACTTTTAAGGAATCACAAGTTGTTATGAGATACAAATTATCATTTTTATAATAGGTTGGTTTACCCGCTGGCCGGATATAAGGGGTTTTACTGTAAAGTTTTGTGTCTCTTGTGCCAGTTTGGACTCTTTTCCATTCAGGTAAGCCAAATCAATCAAATCAAATATCACTTAATTCAACTTGAGAAATATACAGGAATACATTAATGGTGGTAGGAATAGTATAACCCCGAATGGACTGAAAGTCCGTGCTCGAGGGAAGAGCTCTTACCAGCAGGAAATATATATTGGTTATTGTCCATAGGTCAAAAACATGTATACACTGTTTAAAAATAATGTGTACATCTATACTTAAATACGTATCAGGAGCTCTTAAAAAAATGTATATGCTATATATATATATATATATATATATATATATATTGTATACTAGAATATTATTTAACAATAAACAGCCTTAAGCAACAATAAAAATGTTATTCTATAAAGAAAAATGTATTTTGATAGCTATTATTGCGGTGTTTGATGTAAGAGATGAATTGAAATGTAAGGCGAGCGAATTAAAGCCTCTGCAGCCTCTCGTCCTACAGTCATCAACCAGCTATCCTCACAAAAAATCCTAAAAACCTAGGCCCTTGTGCTCTATGTTACATCCTTAACATAAAAGTCACAATCTTAGAAACAGAAACACAATTCATAAAATGTATCTGTAAATAGTTTTGTCTAAGAAAGTGTAGTATCATTAATAATAAGATATGGATAGACTTATACTTACAATGTTAGGAGGCTTAATTAGTTTATACTGGATACGCTCTTCTATAACTTTATTTTGAAGTTTATCAGGTGCATTTCTTAGATCTATGTATCCTTTTCCAATACAACTACTGACTACGGATGAAGGGTCACAGTCGTATCCTCCATAAGTAAACACTAAAACATGTTAAAACATGCATTTAGTTGGGAGGCTCACAGGCCTTGTGGAAGGGAAAATGCCAACATGGAGGGAGTAGTATGGGTTAATATAGTATGGGTTAATAGTATGGGTTTTATATTGATGACTTTTCTGACTCTTCGTTGTTTATTGATCCCAAATATTTGTATTTAAAAAGTTCCATTAAAACCTTTCTGAAACAATATTACACAATGTTCCTGTTTTAAGAAATGGAATTAATTTTTTATATAGGCCTATGATTACAAATTATATCCCATATAATTACAAAAATACCTTAACTCAAAATTATGTAATATAGTTTTGGAGTTGGCTTACACTACTCCTCTTTGATAAAAATCTTGTCTTCCAATGATATATTCCAAACAATAATTATTTACGTTTAAACATTTTTCATCGTATATTTCTAAGTTATAAGCGACAAAATTTAAATGCAACTGAACACCATATAATTAATAATTATTAATTATTCTAATACATGAACACTGCTGGTTACATTTCAGCATTTCATAGCCCAAACACTTTATTCGAAGCAGACAACTATTGACACTGACTAAACTGAGGTAGTGCAGTGAGTGACACATAAGTGAAATGACAGATCAACAAGTGGCTAATACGTGTCACTTGTGCATCTATCAGCCAATGAGAGCGCTCGGAGCTACTTCTAAGGCAGCTCCCCATAAATTTGCAGGGATTGAAGCGGTAAATCGGCTGTTGCTTCCTTGCAAGATGTAAGACGGGGATGACACCAGCAATCACCATGACTGCAGGCTCGTAGACCGTGCTGTAGGCAGAAGCAATTCGCGAGGCCCTCGACACTGAATATAGGAAAGCCGGTCATGGAAGACACGCCTTTCCAGCACATGGTCCAAGACCTTAGCACTGTGCAAGAGCACTGATTGGACAGCAGGCATCAGTAGTGGTGGTGTTGCAAGAGCAGGGACTGCCGGCATTTGTCATAAGCCTACAAAGGGCAGCGAATCCCTTAGCGCTATTACCGTTGATGGCATGGTAAGACCTAGACTCGGGACTGATTACGCTGTCATTTTTTAAATCGTCACAGACAAAAAACACTAATCGTTATATTTTTTTTTATGTATATTTTTCCCTGTCCAATTAGCAGCAAACCTGAGTTTACAATTTACAATTTACTTGTTAAATCTAATGTTATTTAAATTAATAAATATAATAATTCTAGTAAAACTTGTTACTTTTGAAAATAAAGTCCTGCGCAAAATCTTTGGCCCTACTTAAGAAGGAGATGTGTGGAGAATTAAACATAATCAGGAACTAAGAGACCTGTTCAAGGAGCCAGATATAATTGCAGAGGCTAAAAGCAGGAGGCTTCGCTGGACGGGCCACATCATTAGAAGAGATGAAACTAGCACACATTATCAAATATGGAAAAGTGACCCACTGGGGAGGAGACCACGAGGGAGACCGAGGAAACGCTGGACGGATGAAGTAAAGACAGATATGGGCAGGATGGAAGTTAATGAAGATACCGCAAGAGACAGGGCGACGTGGAGACAGTGTGTTGGTGAGGCCAAGTACCACTTGGGGTACAAATGGCCATGAGAGTAAGAGAGTAAGTAATAATTCTAGTAGTGAAACCAGGTATTGGCTGGGTCAAATGCACAATAAAAAAACCTTTTTAATCAGCAATGTATCAATGTTTATTTTACTTTAAAATGTTTAAAGTCCCTTCATATTAGCTGGGGTGGTGGTCCAGGACCTCCAATCCAGGCCTGACATCTCTTTCATAATGCCATGCGATTGTCGTCATCACAAGTGATATTTCGCCTGTCGTCTGTTGTTTGTTGTTGTTCATTTTTTAAAGCTTGGTCCAAGTCCTTAATCAAGATGTTTATTTTGTAAATCCTCATTTTGCGATCTCTCTCAATAGTTGTTTCTTCATGTTTTAAATACTCAGCTTTTTCTCCTGGCTTTTTCAATCTTCTACAACCCCTAGAAGGAACTTTGTTGATGTTCCAGGCCCACCAATTGTCTGTCTAGTTTTCAGATAGGCCTTTAAAGGTGTGGTTTTTTTAACTCCTACTGAAGCTCTCTATTTGATGGTGCTGCATAAAATATTTGGCAATACTGTAGTACCCCTTTCCTTTTCAAGCAGCAGAATTCGCCCAGTTAGCTTACCCGGCGGGTGCCGGCTGAGGGTGGCCAACCACAGGAAGCACAGCAGGAAGAGGTGGTGGTCCAAATAGTTGCTCAACGACCCAATTAACACTAGTCCAACACCTAACAAAAAAGTAAGGACACGACACGACCCATTACTATTACTTACACATAAAAAAGAAGAATTAGTATGGAAAATTAGCTTGTGCTATCAATATTGTAAGAGAGATGTATGCTTACTTTCTTGATGAGTTCATTAATAATTTTTTACTCTAATTGGTTTTTTATAGTTCAAAAACATAATTCAACTGCTTGATTTTTAATGTAATCGTTCACCAGACCCAGATGCCATTTTTGCCGTTAAGCTAACAATTAATGATAATATCTTTAAAAAAAGATCAACGTTTGATAGTAACAAGACCGAGGTTTGGTTTGTTTCTCTACAAAAACGTTATAAAATGCCAACATATAGACAAATAAAAAAATTCTAAACCCATTTTCCTGGATCAAAAACGGTTTAAGCTGAATATGGTTCTTGATTCCATGCCTAGAGCGGGCGCACAGCTAGTTAACATTAAAAGAGTACAAAGTGATTGTATTGTTGTGATTGTTGTACCAATTTAATGCAACATGGAAAGATTATGCTTAACGAGAGTTGCTAAACAAACTCAAAGTGTAATTTTAACCATGCTAACTTACAAATATTGGTATATACAATTGGAACAAAAATGTTTACATTTTCAACTAGGCCCCTACTTACAATCACACTTTATAACTCACTTTAAAGATTCAGGCATTTTTCTACTAGACTTGCACAGAAACAATTAATTCTACATTACAGTCCTGCCTGTGATAAAGATGGGAACTGAAGTATTTAACACGTTCGCTACTGAGCGTCATATATGCGCTGCCGCGGTCATTGCCATGGACCAAGGTATACAATTTAATCTTACACATAGACCGGTTGTCACATTGTACCAGTAGGCCTACACGCAGACCACAGGCGAAAACCTGTTAAAGAGAGATCATTTACTTTATAATACGCTGCAATCGGGTTTGTAAATAATATATTCTTGTTTTATATATGTTTGATGACCTTTTTTAATGTCGCTAAGCAGTGTTTTAATTTACAGCAGATAAACTGACCTCTATTTTTTCCCAAGTACAGGAAGTAAATCTGAGAGCTAGTTAGGTCAGGGTTGGTTAAAAGAGTCTATTATACATAAACATTTAAATATTATACTCACTTTTAACTATATCACAGATGACGTCCAATTTCATAGGCCAACAAATGGCCCAAGATATTGCCCAGTGTAACGCCTCTTCACATTTGTCTTTGAAATTAGAAAATCGCTTCTTGCAAGCTTTTCCCATACCAGTTTTAACATCTGTACAAACAAGTTAACAACATATTAATATATGAAATGTGTTTAACGATGGGAAAATATAAATGCCTATATACATAATAATATTTAAAAGAAAAACAAGTTATGATGCTGCTGAAGTCATAAAGCTGTCAACCTGACAAATGCTACAGTTATGATAGTATCTTGATCAGCCAGTCACAAAAAGGAAACTATGGCATAGTCTTACACACTCGAGAGTTTCTGGAACAGTTGCATCACACAATTAAAAACTATAATTGGACTGGGTGGCGTCGTCCTGTAATCCAGCTACTAGGAGGTCACGAATTGTGGATATTTATAGGGATGGACTCTGGATGCGATGCTCCCTGGTGTGGATTAACGTCCGCACTAGTGAGTACTACGACTATCCGCAGTACTATCCTGATAATTAGACCAATTCGTAAATTACAAGGAAAAATGTGGTTCGGATTCCACTATAAACTGTAGGTCCCTTAGTTGCCATTAGCTGTATGGGCTTTTAATTAACAGCTGTGTCTAAGGCACATGTCGGCCTTAGTCACTAACAAGACTACAAGATCGCGCCACTCATCCTAAATTCATATTTGGGTTAAAATACGCACATAGTGGCGTCCCCATCTTAAATAATTGATAATTGATAATTGATATAAAAGCAATGAGGAGTCAAGCATGCCAGAGCATCTGCTTCAAGCTTGGAAGCATTACAATTGGCTTCAAGCATTACAATTCGTAGAGCAGCACAATTTGGAATTTTATTGGAAGAAAACTAGTTATTTAGTAAACAAATTTTACACTACCTTCCAGAAACTTTAAAGTTAGAAAAAAATCCAAATAAGTTTTTGAAATCATTAAAAGGGGTTTTTATTGGATCAGCATTTCACTCCATTCAAGAATTTTTTTGTATGCAAAAATCAATAAAAGACATTAAGTTACCTCCATTGATTGTTCTATGCTTTTTTACTGTACTTTTAAAATGCATTGACATGTTTTTGGACTACTGTTATACCGTAAAGTTAAAAGTATCAATCACTAGTTTTAAGCAATTTAGATAAGACAACTAGATATTATTTAATGTACCAAAATGTACATTTTATGAAATAAAGATGATGGTGGTGATGATGATGACGACGATGATGATGATGATGATGATGATTTGTCATTTTGTAAAACTCAATGTGTAACAACATCCAGTTTTGTTTTTGAATAAAATAGTATATTTCATTTCATCACTAGAGAGTAAAGTGACTCTTTTCGCCCCGTGCTCAAGTTTTACGATCAAGGCGATGACGAGGTTGGAAGTAGAGTGAGGGTTCAAAAGACAATTTTTGTTGTGTTATGAACTATTTTTTTTTTGTCATATTGCACCATTATTTGAACCAACTATGTTACAAAACTTAAATAGTTTTCATTTTAAAATAACCTCTCAAAACTACTTCAAACTTGTTTTTAATTTAATTTGCTACTGGAAACAAGCAGCTGTCTAGTAAGTGATTTAATCGTTTTGTCTGTTACAATTGTGTTAGTGTACCTACATTCATTATACTATCAAACTTTTTACAATAAGGCAAATGTAACAACAACAAACATTGTCAAACAATAATCTGCAATCAATGCACCCATTTGATACATGTGATAAAAACCAAGTTGAGAACAGCTGATTTTTACTTCCTAGGGGCTAAAGATAGTTTTTACTTCCTAGGGAGTAAAATACTACTTTAGATCCGCAATGCATGCATTAAAAACGGTTGTTTTTGCTGCAGTATGAGGAAAATTCTTTTTATTAGATATTGTAAAAAGTTATAGTGTGTACTACAGTTATAGAAATGCAACTTTTTTATAACTAATAATAAAAACATTACTATAGTATACACCATAATCCTTCTTTTTTTACTACTTTTTGTGAAACAAACTATAACTTCAATTAGAGTCTGTTTTCTAAAGATTTGTATCAAGAGGCATTTAACACTCATCTATGATTTAACCATAAAAAAATGCACCGTAATGTAATGTAATGGAAGTATAATTAATTTTGGAAACACTTACTTTCACATCTAGTTTCCAATTTCTTCAAGTATTGTTTTTGATATTCCTCAGCAGTTACTGTATTATTTAATTCATACTCTTTAAAACTTGTTGACTTGTTCACATTTTTTATAATGTCAAACATGTTCCTGCTTAAATTATTAGAATATTTATTTTCTAGTTCTTCACTTCTTTTTGTGTCATTCTACAACAATTGAACTGATAAAGTAGTGAGGTGTTTAAAAAACTAAGATAAAAGGTAAAGCTGTGATTGATGTAGGTTCAGGGATTAAAAAATATATGTGGCATGGTGTATTCAGGAACCTTATAGACAATAATGTCTGCATTAAATAAGGCTATTAATTGCTATACCAGTCAGTTGTGGTTAGGCGCTCACAACGTCTGCGTGAGAGAAATACAATAGAACCACCTTGAAAACGCTGCACGTTGACATTGGTGCAGCAAAACATCAAAAATAAGAGTCTGGATTTTATTTTTATATTTGCATTTTTATTCTAATTGTATGTGTTTTTGAACAATCGTGACAAGGACTGTATTCTCCTTATTTCAAATACCCCGGCCGCAGCAAACCTGCCAACTAAGCGAATTTTCATTTGTCTGAATTGATTTTCAATCAAAATCTATTTAAATAGCATTAGGTACTTAACGTGGACCAACGATCACATAAGACCAATAGATGGAGCACATTGGCTGCGACGTGAAGACAGTATTTTTCACTAATCTTCTTCACCAAGATGGTGGCTGCCGGCTGTGATGAGCCCTAGTAGCGTGCACAACTAATTAAATGTTAGTTGATATCAAAATGCACGGCTTTGTATTATAAATATTTCTATTAATAACATAATAACCTTCAAAGTACACTTTTAATTTTTTCCTAACGTTTACCGTTTCTTAGAAAAAGTTAGTTTAGATAATAAACAACAAAAACTTTTTGGGCAAAAGAAAAATTCTGAAAGCTAGAAATTAATTTAAAATATATGTATCTATATCGTATTAAAGTTTGATGAAGTTCTGACGTTTGGTTTACAATATACAAATTTTCAAAGTCACAAGATAGTTTCTGAAACTCTTAAATCAACTCTCCTTTATATTCTGACTGTCATATTAACGTTTGTGAAAGAGCTAAAAAAATATTAATTTTTATATGAATACAAAGAATTAAACGAAGAACATTTATATGTACTCCGTATCTCAATCCACTCTACACTAACTTTGTATTTATATTCAGCTTAAAATATTTACAAAAAGTAGTAACTATTCTTCACTGCCTTATTGATGTGATTTTCTGATTTTTTGATCTAGGTTAAAACTTAAATAAATAAAGACTGCAAGATTGCAGTCTGTGGTTGGAATTTAAGTATGATCATAGAAAGGTTTAAAACTCTAGCACTTACCAATGCTTCATCCATATAGTCGTTTTCTTCTTGGATGAATTTGACATCATCAACTCCCTCTATCTCTTGAGCAAACGGCTCTACTACATTGTTTACAAATCCCATCATATCTTTAAGTTCTTCTGATTCAACCTACAGTATAATTGACAAAGATTATTACTTCTTTTATCTAAATAGGATGGAACTGACCGATTGGTTGTTGGCCATTCTAAGGCTCACTTGCGAACCGACTAATACGGTCAGTTGGCCACTCTCAGGGTTAAAGTTACAGCTATAGTTTTTGAATTAAATCTAATTAGAATGAAACTAGCCAGGCTAGTTGAACTGACCCAACGAAAAGAGTCGGCTGTTATATCAATTACTGATTTATTTCCTAAAGACCAATTTTTTTAACAATCCAAACTCAAATGACAATTTATTGATAACTTAGGAATTGTTTCTATCATATTAATTACAGAGTTATAAAAACTTAAGAGTTAAAAAAAGACGTTTTGACATGTTTTGTGAGTGTGGCTCATTCAACTTTGGTTCAGAGGGGTTACTTTCAAGTATGTAAACGTAAAGTCAATGAATAGTTATAACCACCAACCTTGGTGTTCAAGAAGGCAATCTTGAAAGGTTTGACAAGAAGATCATATCTAGCCTGAGAGAGGTTATGAGCCATGGAGTTGCTACAGGTAAACATCCTCATCAACTCTTCAACATTGACCATGATGTTAGGAACAGGTCCAGACATCAGTGCACTAATGACCAGAGCCTTCACAATGTGTCTCCCTGACTTTCCGAAGAATGAAGGCATCGTCAACAATGTTATGCATCTGATCTAAACATTCAAATGCCACTGATTGGTTGGACAATTATGTATTTCAGAGCTGAATTCCAAAATAAATTTGCTGGGTTAAATTCCAGCATCAACTAATCCATTGTCCGAAAATCCGGGTTTGGACAATGGACACTTCTAGCTGCCAAGATAAAAGGCATCTTCAAAAGTGTTAAATATCAGACTTAAACATCTTCTACTGAATTTTGAATTTGTGACTGCATAGAACTGACCTATTCTCAATGAGCTTCTTAGTACTTAAATCGACGTGAGGGGCTCTCCCACAATCCCCCACTCTTTCGCAGAAAAGGTTCTCATCAGTATCTCAGAAGGGGAAAATGAGACGCTAGTACTTAAAACCCTCTGGGGCGGAGACCTTTTGACGGATCTGCACCAAACTTCAAACATATATACAGGGTGTTTTTTTAAAAACTTGCATCTTTATTTATGTAAAAACCGCAATAGATAGAAATATGCAGTTTGCGGGAATCATCTATTGACGTAGGGGGACCAATTGTTTTGAATTCAACGTTACATTCACATTCCCCCCCTTTCCCCCCTGCCCTCAACTAATTTTTTTAAATAGCAAGGTACCCCTTGTGACATATCAAATGAAAGAGAATAAAAAAAGAAAATGTTTGATCAAAAAAAAATTTAAATCGGTTCATAAATTTGTGAGATATTCCCCCCCTCACCCCCCCGGAACTTATTTTTTTTAATAGCAAAGTACCCCTTGTGACATATCAAATGAAAGAGCATGAAAAAAGAAAATTTTTGGTGAAAAAAAATTTAAAATCGGCTCATGAATTAGTGAGATAATCACCCCCCTTTTCCCCTACCCATAACTTGTTTTTTTAATAGCAAGGTACCCGCCCTTGTGACATATCAAATGAAAAATAAATTTCACCAAAATTTTTCTTTTTTTATGCTCTTTCATTTGATATGTCACAAGGGGTACTTTGCTATTAAAAAAAAATAAGTTCCGGGGGGGTAAGGGGGGGAATATCTCACAAATTTATAAACCGATTTTCAATTTTTTTTCATCAAACATTTTCTTTTTTCATGCTCTTTTATTTGATATGTCAGAAGGGGTACCTTGCTATTTAAAAACATTTAGTTGGGGGCAGGGGGGAAAGGGGGGGGAATGTGAATGTAACGTTGAATTCAAAACAATTGGTCCCCCTACGTCAATAGATGATTCCCGCAAACTGCATATTTCTATCTATTGCGGTTTTTACATAAATAAAGATGCAAGTTTTTAAAAAAACACCCTGTATGTTTGTTATTATTGTTTTAGAATGCTCAAACAATATACAGGGTGGCGCAGATGGATCGGGTGGTTCTAAAATACTTGTCAAAATGTCAATTTTAAAGGTATTGGATTGAAATAAAGTGCAAAACGTGTAGTAACAATGGAAGTTTAATAACAAAAAATTAGTTAAGTTAGTTTTTAAAAATTACATCCATCAAATGCCTTCCTTCTCGAGCTACGCATTCTTGGTGTCGGTCCTTAAGGTTCTGCATTGCTCGCTCAAGCACATCACCAGGAATTGATGTGATTTTGTTGTGAATTGCAGCCTTCAACTCCTGGAATAGTCCAGAGTTTGTTCATGTAGACCCTTGCTTTTAAATATCCCCATAAGAAAAAGTCACATACCGTGAGGTCCGGTGAGCGAGGGGGCCAGTGGAAATCTCCATTACGGGAAATCATACGGCCAGGGAACAAAGCGCGTACAGCTTGCATTGATATCCTAGCGGTATGTGCAGTTGCCCCGTCTTGTTGGAACCACATATTGTCCATGTCGTAATTGTTCACTTCAAGTTGTGGGAGAAGAAACTCTTCAATTATGTTCACATAACGCTGCGAATTAACAGTAACCGCCTGCTCCCTTTCGTTTTAAAAAAAGTAAGGCCCAATTATCCCTACCTTAGAAACACCATACCAAACTGTCACTTAGACACCATGGAGAGGCCAGGCCGTTGGTGTGGGTCTCTTGGGTTAGTGTCGGCCCAGTAACGGCAATTTTGCTTGTTGACGCAGCCGTTAATGTGAAAGTGAGCCTCATCAGACATCAGGATAATCAGGTTTTCATCTTCCAATATCTCCAACATACGTTTGCTAAACTGAAGCCTTTGAAGATGGTCTGTTGGGAGAATCTTTTGCACCACCATGATTTTATAGGGGTGGAATTTCAGTTCTTTGTTAAGAATCCTTTGAAGGCTCCGACGTGACATTCCAAGAACTTGAGCACGACGTCTAGTTGATGGACGTGGGCTCGTAGCGACATCGTGTCTCACACGCTCCACGTTGTCAGGTGTTCTTACTGTTCGAGGTCTAGGCGTCCATTTTGCAGCACATGAACCAGTAGTGCAGAAATTATGCACCCAACTCATAATCATATCTCGCTTAAGAACACTACCGCAAGGTGGGATGTTGAAATGCCGGCAAAAGGCACGCGTCACAGCAGCAATTGACTCGTTATTGCGGATAAACTCTTCCACTGAGAAAACACGATGCTCAACGGACCACGTGGCCATCACGACTGACTGCCAGTCTGCAACTGAGACTTCCGGTCCCCCCACCACAGGACGAAGACCGCCAAATACCTGGCTTCCTCCTCCCAGACGTACGGTACACTTCAAAACCACCCAATCCATTTGTGCCACCCTGTATATATACATACAAACTTCCTCTTTTATAGATATAGATGTATTTAAACACTAGGTAAATAACACTGGGTAAATAACACTAAGTAAATAACACTAGGTAAAATCTTTAAAATTAAATTATTTCTAAATTTCACTCAAAATTTAACTGTATAAAAGACGCTAAAGACCAAGTTCCTACTTCACAAACTTACAAGGCTTATTTAATATATTTATAGCCCAAGACTTAATTTTTACCTGAGAAGATAGAGAGCAACCCAGAGTCAGTAACATGGTGAATACGACTCCTAGAGTGAACACTGTAGATGGCTGGAAGGCTATGCCAGAGATAATGAATTCGTAAAAAGCTGAAAATGTTTAACAATGTTAGATGGATGGATGGATACAACATATATGGAGTTAGTAGTGCTCTGCTATATGATGAGTGATGGTTTTTAAGTTATTCATCCATTCCTGTGCACTCCATTTTTAACTCAATAGTAAGGCTACACAATTAAATACATAGCTATGCCTCCTTGTCATTGACCCAATACCGGATTTGCCACTAGGCCGACTGTGCTGCGGCTTGGCCACAATCAAAAGGGGGCCACAGCAATTAATTGGTACAAAAGCAAAGTTTTAGAACAAAAAAAGAAATTTTTTTAAATCAATAATTCACTTCAATAATGGGTGATGATGAGGATGTCTCCCTGTGAGATCGCAGAGGTGATATTTATGATTTGCTGCAAATACCGGTGAAGATAATAATTTCTCCACGATCGCTGGAGTTGTTCACAATTCTATCACGACCGCAGTGCCAATAATGATGTCCCCATGATCGCTGGAGTTGTTCAAGATTAATTCAGGCAGTTGCCAATGACGGTGATCGTTTCCCTGAGATAACAGAGATGTTCAAAATTGTTATACGATCACGGAAATGATGATGTCCCCGCTATCGTAAGAAAATCTTTATCGCCACTTTCAATTACAGCCTGCTACAAAAAGCTTCAGCGATCGTGGGGACATCATTGTAGTCAACATCGTCATCGTCACCCATCATATTTGTGGTGAATTGTTGATTTTATAGTATAAAATTTGAATTTTAGTTCACAATTTTGTACCAATCGTGTAGGGAAATTTAAACTTAACGGCAGGGACCGTCTATAGAAGTGTTTATTTAGTTTTTAAATCTGGCTCTGTTTTAACCAGTTATTCTTAATCATAATTGTCCATCTAAGTAGGCCTGTCTCTTTCGGAAGCTTTAATAGAAAGTAAAACTTAAATTGAAAAAACACAAAAATAACAATGAATGGGGATCAAAAATATAAGGGCTAAAATACCACACTTACCAAGCCCGACAGTTAACCCGAACACACTTCCGATCAGCATTCTGTAGATTAAGCATTCATTTTGTTCCCCAAAAATAACACGATTCATCAAGGGAACCTGTTGTTTGGTCTGTTTTTGTCCACCTTAAACATTCAAATGTAAGCAATCATTTTTTTCTATAGGCTATTCAACAAACAATCTCTGTTGGGTATGTAGTTTAAAAGTTATTTCCTGTTTATTTATAAGTTTTGTTGATTAATAAATAGTCATTGTTAGCCTATTCCCATTATAGTCAGCTATCGATATTAGCCCTTTGTAGTTGGGAACAATATTTTACTTTTGATACAAGACATTCCATCCCCATATTAAAGTTGTCGCCAGTTATTACATCAAAATCATCATAGGCCTACCCTACAATTATTAAAATAATTTATTAAAACACTGTTAGCGGTACGTGAGACACTGCTTGATTGTGCTGATCTAACTTAAATTACTAATTTCTGGTGAATTCACAAACGTTTTTACCAAGCTATAACTTAGCAACTGACCCATCAACTAGATATCAGCAACAAAAATAAGGTAGAAAGTAGAATTTTAGAGAATAACTTATTCTGTGACTTGCTCACACTCAGTTACTAACTTACGGTAAGTAATGTTTATTTTTAATTAAAAATTGGCGACAGCTGGAATAGCCAACCGAGTGTTAGGTGGGATGTCTACTTCTATAATCCATATTATCCTATACTTATATAATATGAGTAAGGCTTAAAGTTTGAATATTCGTTACTTCGATCTCCAAATTGGCACCACGTTTATACTTACGAAATAGGCTAACTAAGTTCCAAAAATAAGTTCTAGACCAGTGGTAGCCTATAGCCAGGAAAATCTATTTTCGCCATAATATGAGTACAAACTTTTGAAAATATAACATGGGCCTTATGGGACGCCATTCTTTTGACTTGTTTCTTTTGATTGTTATGTTCTTTTGATAATTTACTTGTTTATTATCAACCTGTTTATTGCTTATCATTGGCGATAAACAAAACCGACATTTGTTAACAATCCTCAATCTCTGGTTTTTGTTTAAAAATTCTATGTTAAAAAAATGTTGTGTACCATACTATGTGTGCTACGTCTTGGAACAATTACCATTTACAAAATTTCTTCATCTTCTATACCTATATCTTCAACTAAGTTAATAAATATAACTGAATAAAACTTTGTCTTTTCCTTAAACTCATTGATTACTATCACTACTTTAATACAGACCGTGAGCGATCTGCAGTGCTAAGGACTGGCTCAAGACATTTATCAAGTGTATGCAACTGCATGTCTGTAAATCTGTAGGAAATAAATGTTTGAGTATTGGTTCCCTGTTAAGTTAGTGGCTGGATAAACCAAGGACTAGTAAAACCGAGGCTGGATATCAGGGTTTCTACTTTATATCGTCGCTACCCAAGTGAAAGGGACATTTAGGCTATTAACATTATGGCCTTCTTGAGATGTAAGAAGTAAGGATGCATCATCTTGTAACTTAGGCCTAAGGCTATATAATAAGTTAGGCCTTAGTATTTCTTAAGGCTATGATTTGCAAATTAGCCTACAGTAGAGTATGAAAATGACTACTTATTTTTGTTCTAACTCATCACAAAGTTAAAATCTAACTCACCGTAAGTAAGTTACCTAACTTTATTAAGTTGCTCAGCTGCATTTCCTTATAAAATTGAGGATTTAGCCTACTCACTTGATTTTAGGGTAAGTTGGCTGCACTTTACTTTAGGTCCTAGTACAGTCATTCAAATGAAAATATTGATTATTCTATATATCGTTTGGTTAGTTAGGTAAGGTTAACCTAACCTACCTAACCAAAGGATATATCGAATGAAACAATTGAATAATCAATATTTTCATTTGGTTGTTTGTGTAGGACCTAAAGTAAAGTGCAGCTGGTAAGTTAGTAAGGTTAAGCTGATAGCCTAAATAAATTTCTTAAAATATGTATGTTTAACCATTAGACTCCTTATCCCATTGTAAATTTGAAGCGTTTTTGTTGTCTAGTTCATGTAAGTCCACACTGATCCCTGGGTCAGACGAAATTTTGTTTACCTATATTAAGTTATTTTAGGGTTTTTTTCATGATTTGTGCTTTACTATTTGGTTATATAGCTAGGAGACCAGTTGTTGTTTATGATTATGTCATTTTATTTTGTTAAATGAGGTTTTAAATGACTGAAATAACAAGAAACAAATTGTAAACAAAACACGATCTCTGATCTCTACAGTTGGACGTACCTACAGAACTACAATAAAATTGGCTTCAGCTGTTCCATAAGGATGACAAATCTACTGGCCTTACTTACAACTTTATTAACATACCTTCTAATAATAAAGGAATTATTTTTAATAAATTTAACTTCCCACCATACTTATCTTGCTTTAAAAAAATCATTTTCTACCTAGGCTTAGGCCTATCACTGAAAATCCGAATTCGAGCACAAGTATGTAGGTACACTAAGTACACTAGTTTGGCTTAATTACTGGACTGGCGAATTTTGTGATATCAATCAGCGGTTCATTTGCTTGTACTGTATGAATCTTTAGCTGTAGTAGTAAGTTCGATTTTTTATTTACTTTTCTATACAAAAGTTATGTTGTTCTTGAACTTGAAATTTATTGTAATCAGATAACAATGAATTCGTTCTATAATTTTGATTCAGAAAAAAATCATTTTCCGTCCTCGTACAGGTACACTCCTCCTCATACAGATAACAATAAAACCCAATAGACACTGGACGGAGGATATCATTGGTTATTCTCAGTATGTTCCATACTATGCTATAACCATTGATTTAGTTTGAAAATCGGCCACCTTTAACTCTTTATAACTACGGCCCATCCCTAGTGGAAGACATCAATAGAAATCAATAGAAAAAATCTATTGATATCACTAGATGCTTAGTGATATCAATAGATGTTCATGGATATCATTACAAGTAAATACAAACAAATAGACATCACTGAAAACTTAGTCAATACATATCACTAGACATCTATAAACATAAAATATATCAATATAGATCATTAGAGCAAACAAATCGTTCATTGATATCAATAGAGAATATTTTTTAAATATGTAAGATGTAAATATAAATCAATAGACATCAATACGGGTAAATAAAATTCAAAATATCTCTCAAATGAATCACATATGAGCATTATGGATTATACAAACTATCAATGTAAAGTGGTTAAATAAACAGTAATAAGAATGTTATTTTTTGAAAAAAGGAAAAACTCTAGTTTTAGGTCATAGACGTTAGCTGAGGTACCTAAAACTCAATATGATTTAAAAATATATCATTTTAAAATTGTTGTAAAACAGTTACAACTTGTATTAAATCTTATTTTTTAAACTGCCAAAAACTGATTGCTAAACAATTTTAAAATTGTTGTAAATCAGTTTACAACTTGTATTAAAACTAATTTTTTTAAACTTCAAAAAACTGATTAAAAAAAAATTTAAATTGTTGTAAAAAACAGTCACAGCTTGTATTGAAACTATTTTTTCAACTGCAAAAAACTTATTGTTAAACATTTTTAAAATTGTTTCAATCTTATATCAACATTGTTGTAATATGAAGTTTAAATCAAAATGTTTTAAAATTGTTATACAACAATTGTAATACAGCTTTTGACAACTTTTAACAATTTCTTTTAATGGGTTATTGTTAGGGATAAAAATCACTCACAAATTCATCATTGAATTCCTTATTTCTAGAAATCAATAAAAATAAATTGTATTGACACTAATCACATCACCCAAGTAGCAAGAAAACAGTTTGAACTGGTAATAAAACAGTTTTGAAACATGTTAAAACATAATTACATGCATGGGTACATGCTTTAAATGACACAAATGCCATTGAAAAATCTTTTAAGTTCAATTATGAGGCCTAACACAGCTTCTCGCATTCAAAGTGGCTATCATTACATTAGTGGCTTAGCTGGCTTCCATGCCGGAGTCCCAGGATCAAATCACGGGAATACCAAAAGCTTTTTGACAAGAATTTTTTTACTTTTTCATTTTTATTTTATTTTTAGTGCATAGTAGATGTGATTCAATGTGTTGAAACAAATTAAAAATTGTTTATTAACAAGCTACAAATTATTTTCAATTAAGCTAATGACTCGGATTCTATATTTACTTGTATTGATATGTATTGATGTGTATTGATGTGTATTGGCCCAAATACACATACGTATTAATACGTATCAATATACAATTTTTGTATTGATATATATTGATCTCTTCCACTAGGGATACTACGGACGACTTTAACTCCATACCGCGGCCTTCGAGTTTGAATTTAACCACGGTCGCCTTTAACTACAGGCCGCGGCCTTCGAACTGGCAACGTCGCAAGTGGTGTTGTAACAGCTGTTTTTGTTTGGAAGCAGCTAATTGTATTTGTGTATCTACGAAAGATTGGTTACTGGACTATGACTATATTTACTCCGCTTAAAAATGTACAGATATAGGTTTTAATTCATATTGTTTCGGTTTCCAATTCTGTGGGTTTTATTTTCAATATTTAAAAAAATTTATGTTCATAAATTTAAATTTAAATCAATAAAGTGCGAATTAATGAGCTGATCACCTGTCTGCCATGTTATCTTATGCGACGTCTGTCGCTGAACAACACCACTTGCGACGTTGCCAGTTCTACCAGGCCGCGGCCTGTAGTTAAAGGTGGCCGTGGTTCATACGTGTCAAATCACGGCCGCCTTTAACTACGGACGCTGGACCAGGCGACTGATACAGAAAGTCAAACCTTGGGTTAATCGGCGGTGCGGAGAAGTGGACTTCTACCTAACCACAGAGAAGTAATATAAACCTAACCCAATTTCTGACGGGTCACGGCTTTTCCGGTCGTACCTGTTCAGGATGAGCAAAGCCGTGTCACCCGATTGTATATACTTCCCAGGCATTCCCGATGACGTGAACATACCTTTTTCCACCGCCAGCGTTGGGAAAGGCCCCGCCTGGAGGCTCAACAGTTAGTAGGACTGCTGACGGTGAACACGGTCACATACCGATGATAACGGAGGGTGAGGACAATTGGACCTGTGTGTCACATTACATCCAGGGTATTCTCCGTGCCAAGAAGCTCGACCTTGACCGGGATGCGGCGTAGGTCATTAAGTATCCAAATGCCAGAAACGGTGAGAGCCCTGAGGGCTTAGGTCACATGTTGGCCTGACTTGAAGTAATGTGACAAACAATTCCAGGTCTGTGTCCAATAGATCAGAGGGGGTTTTGTTGTGAGTAGTCTGTGATAAATTCAGGAGTCTCACACTAGTCGCTACCTGTATGCGTAAAAGCATTTCCCATCCTCTCCCTTAAAAAAAACCATGGAGTGAAATTATAAAAAAATGTGAGCATTTAGCATTGTTTAATGAGTAATAAATAAGTGCGTAGAAACAATAATGACTATTGCGTTAGTTACAAAATATGGTTGATCATTTAACGAATAACATATTAGGAACGCGGCAGCGTCCGCCCCGCCAAGTCCCCCAGCGGTACGCAGCTGCTGCAGTGTATATATATATATATATATATATACATGACGTGACAAAGTGGCTTTTTTACTCGTCTATAGCTCTGAAGAAACAAAAGCTACTAGGTGGCGTTCGCAAAGGCATCCACAAAATTGAGCGGAGTCATCAAGGGTTCATATTATATTGTTTTTGTCATACTGCAGTAAAAACAGTTTGAGTTTAATTGTATTAGAGGTGGCTGTGATTAAACCATAGCCACCTCTAATACATTATGTATTAGAGGTGGCTATGGTTTAATGCATGCGTTGTGGGTCTAAAAGTAGCATTTTTAATATTTAGGGATTAAAAATAGTTTTTAACCTCTATGGAGTAAAAATCAGCTGTTGTATACTTAGTTGTAAATTTCTATTGTAAACGATTGCATGTATCGAAAATATATATCGATTCGTGCTTCGTAATCATTTTAACCTACAGTCTACAGTCTCTTTCCGTAGCATAGCATTTTAGCATTACGACACTAGCTTGAGGTCCGTTACGTATGAAGTGGTGAAGGAAGTAGTAAAGGTGAGCAGTCTGGAGTGTGGAAACTGTTTATGACAATTAGATTAAGGTATTTGCAATCCTATGATTCTATGGAAAGGGAGGAAAATAGGTCCGTGACGTAGGAAGTGGTGAAGGAAGTAGTAAAGGCAAGCAGTCCGGACTGTAGGAACTGTTTGTGACGATTAGATAAAGATATTTTTTGCAATCCTATGATGCTATGGTAAGGGAGGGAAACAGGTCTGTGACGTAAGAAGTGGCGAAGGAAGTAGTAAGGGCAAGCAGTCCGGAGTGTGGGAACTGTTTATGGCGATTAGATTATGGTATCAAAGGGAAGCGAACAATTATTATTTTATTTATTGACAACTGCAGTGCTCACCACACTATTCCCGAGCTCAAATGGATAAAGGTCCAGTTTTTACCAGTAAATACGACGTAAAAAATTACAACCTCTGGATCAGGGCATTATTAAGAATTTTAAAGTTGTTCTTTACAGAACTGAAGTTATAAGATGATTTGTGACTGATAATAAAGACGGAAAGGAGTGTTCAATCAACCTGTTACAAGCCATGTGGTTGATTGACAAGGGCTGGAAAAGTGTAACAAAACAAATTGTTGTCAATTGTTTTAAGTCGTGCGAGTTTGTAATCCTAAAATGCTATGGAAAGGGAGGGAAACAGGTCCGCGATGTAGGAAGTGGTGAAGGAAGTAGTAAAGGCTAGTTGTTCGGAGTGTGGGAACTGTTTATGACGATTAGATTAAGGTTTCTGCAATCTTAAAATGCAATGGGAAGGGAGGGAAGTAGGTCCGCGACGTAGGAAGTGGTGAAGGAAGTAGTAAAGGCGAGTACTCCGGAGTGTGGGAACTGGTTATGACGATTAGATTAAGGTATCTCTGTGATCTTAAAATGCAATGTACTACTTCCATCACCACTTCCTACGTCACAGACCTGTTTCCCTCCCTTCCCATTGCATTTTAAGATCACAGATACCTTAATCTAATCGTCATAACCAGTTCCCACACTCCGGAGTACTCGCCTTTACTACTTCCTTCACCACTTCCTACGTCGCGGACCTACTTCCCTCCCTTCCCATTGCATTTTAAGATTGCAGATACCTTAATCTAATCGTCATAAACAGTTCCCACACTCCGAACAACTCGCCTTTACTACTTCCTTCACCACTTCCTACATCGCGGACCTGTTTCCCTCCCTTTCCATAGCATTTTAGGATTACAAACTCACACGACTTAAAACAATTGACAACAATTTGTTTTGTTACACTTTTCCAGCACTTTTCAATCAACCACATGGCTTGTAACAGGTTGATTGAACACTCCTTTCCGTCTTTAATATCAGTCACAAATCTTCTTATAACTTCAGTTCTGTAAAGAACAACTTTAAAATTCTTAATAATGCCCTGATCCAGAGGTTGTAATTTTTTACGTCGTATTTACTGGTAAAAACTGGACCTTTATCCATTTGAGCTCGGGAATAGTGTGGTGAGCACTGCAGTTGTCAATAAATAAAATAATTGTTCGCTTCCCTTTGATACCATAATCTAATCGCCATAAACAGTTCCCACACTCGGGACTGCTTGCCCTTACTACTTCACCACTTCTTACGTCACAGACCTGTTTCCCTCCCTTACCATATAGCATCATAGGATTGCAAAAAATATCTTTATCTAATCGTCACAAACAGTTCCTACAGTCCGGACTGCTTGCCTTTACTACTTCCTTCACCACTTCCTACGTCACGGACCTATTTTCCTCCCTTTCCATAGCATCATAGGATTGCAAATACCTTAATCTAATCGTCATAAACAGTTTCCACACTCCAGACTGCTCACCTTTACTACCGTACTTCCTTCACCACTTCATACACGTCACGGACCTCAAGCTAGTGTCGTCATTTGATTATATTTATGATACATACCGTTTCTGTTCTTATATCTGTGGAATAATGCTATCAGCTATTTCTTTATCAACTGCATTCAAAAGTCAACAGCTGATCATGTGACTTTGTTTATGTGTCAAATACTGCTTCCATAAGGATTACATTGAAACTTTGAGACCCACTGGGGCGGATCCCTGAGAGACCTTTTTAACGCCATATAGATGTTGGCACTCACCGATATGGTCTTTATCACCATGCAAAATTTGAAAACGATTGATTCACCCGTCTAGGAGTTTGCGTATTCCGAAATGCATAAGAGTCGACGTATAAGAGCTTTGCTCGCTCCGCTTAATTAAAATAATTGTTCATCTACTGGATGGGGGCACTCATTCTAAAAAAAATAAAAATAAAAAAAAATAAAACGGTTGTGTTTGAACCAAGAAAAACTAGTTTGAAAATTCGCAAATTTTCCGTGTTCTCCTTCTCCTCCTCCTTCTCCATGAATGTTGACGGACCTACAGCCCGAACCACTGGCTCAATTGTAATGTTTTGTATGTTGTTTGAAAGCCCTTAACGTGTAGATGTGCCTTTTGAGGGTCTCAAGTCCGTGCGTTGACCCATAAACCCTTGGCAAGCCCTCAAAGTACGATTTTGGCCTATTTAAATACCATGGGATTAAAATCAAAACAGAAGAGGGACCAGCTGCGATTAAATCTCAATTAATTTAAATGTTAGAGAACAGGTGATAATTATTTTAAAATATTTAACTCGATAATTTGATCTTTAGTACAGCTCGTACAGCTACACAAAGTTTGGTTAGTCATGACCAAAGATAACACTTAGTTACCGGTATTTGATTTTCCAACAGTCTCACTCAGACCATATGTTTATAGTTCTATGACTCAGACACAGCTGTATTTATTTTTTCTCCAGACAATTAAACTAAACTAAACTAAACCAAACGTCACTGGTCACTAACGTCAGTTCAGTAACACAGTAACGTCAAACGTCACTCATTCCATTCTCAAATCAAATCTAAATCTGAACTCATTATCCTTCTCGCTCGCATGACTTGTGTCTTGTTTTGATCATTTTTGGTTGGAGTATTGAGTAGTGTGACTGGTGTTATTGTTTACCGTCTTTTTACTCGAAAGGGAGCATTTTTGAAGACAGAAAATTTATTTCATTAGTCTGAAAATATGGTGTGTGCACTCTACGATTTTAGACACCTATACCTAATAAAGCTGTTAAACCTAGGTAACTATTATAGTTTTAGGTTACATTTAAATAACTTTGTTTTGGATGCAACATAGTAAATTTCATTGAAAATAGTAACATAACCCTAGAACCCTAAATCTTAACAGTACTAACAAATTAATTCATAAATAACCCGCAAAGTAAACTTGCAGATGAAGCAAATTCCGGCTGCACTTTACTTGACGTCCTACACTCATTCGAATGAAAATATCGACCAAGATTGCTTCATTCGATATATTGTTTGGTTAGTTAGGTAAGGTTAACCTAACCTAACTAACCAAACGATATATCGAATGAAACAATCGAATGAAAATATCGAATCGAAAAAACAATCGAACGAGTGTAGGACGTCAAGTAAAGTGCAGCCCAAATTCCCATTTGCCTGATTAGATTTTAGGCATTGTCTTTAAATAGGCCAAGCAGATTTATTTTTATTAACATTAAATTTAACAAGTAGCCTAGGTGGTATTTATTCCGATATTCTTAACACTAGGTAAGTTAGCCTATCTAAAATTGTATTTGTGGGATAACTTATAGGTACCGGTTACACACTTAGGCCTATGTTTTTATACCTATATTTACAAAAGAGCTTCAGGACAAATCTAGGAGGTTAAACATTAAGGAGAGGGCACGCAAATAGAGATATACATGTTGCCGTGAAGCCAGCTTTAGCAGAACACTTGAGGGACATGCAGAGCCGTAGAGTAGCAAATAAGTATAAGCCGCGGCTATATAATGGGATGGATAGGGGATAAACATGACACATGCTGTTTCGAATTAAAATTGCCGCCAAACTAAACTTAACTTAAATTACCCGTGTTACTTACCAGTGACATTTTAAAGTAGCCTAAATTAAATTTCCTATCCAATGATATTAATTATTCCCTGCAAACATTAAGTTATTTAAGTTATTATTTAGGCTACTATTGGAGATCAAAATTGGGAGAATTGTCTTGGACTTTGAACATATGATTACTTTAATTCAGTTTTTGAAATAAATAGGCCTAATGTATGATGTAGGCCTATCTATACAAATAATCAATTTATTCGTGTTCCCCTAAAGGGTTTCTCGAAGTAAAAATAATATAGACTTTACCAATAGTTTTAAGTCAAGTGGAGTAAATGTATGCCCCGGTCAAGTGGCTTTCCAGCTACAGTAGACTCCCTCTTATCCGGACTCCTCGGGACCGAGGCCAGTCCTGATAAAGTTTTTCCGGTTAAACTGACTTCCCCAAAAATTTTTAGAACGGACCGTTTAAATGCATACTGTATACAGTATTATTCTACTTAAATATAACCCTTTCAGACCCGGGAATCTTAGTCATCTCGACCGCTTTAAGTCCTGAGCAAATTTTGAATAAATTTTGGTTTTTAAACTAACTTAGATTTCAAATACTAAAATTATTGATTAGGTTTGTTTTAAAGACGAAACCTTCATAATACCATATTAACCATTTCAGTTTCAGCAATAATTAGCATTATAGGCCTATACGTTTAAAAACATAAATAAAACAGTCATTAACTTTAACAGTCGCCCTATCTCCTATCTATTTCTCCTATCTTACCGTGACATTGCAACAAAACAATCAGTGTTACCATAAGACATGAAGGCGGACTGTCACGTCACTCCTCTTCCAAGGGGTGCGAGGGGGGGCTCGCTTGGGTGAGAGGTGGTGTAGAAATCAACACTCGACAAGTCAACTAACCAACGGACTATTTATTTAAATAAAAGAATACGTACTTCCCTAACTTAACACTAACAAATCAAAAATAAAATTCCCTGAACTAAATATCAAGGTACCGACCGACCCTCTACCCGATCACGTGACGACGTGTCGCGGATGTACTGACACTCTCTGTCTTCGGAGACCTTCTCGGCCCCGTGTCTCGCAGCTCACTGCCTCTGTCGTCGTCCAAGACACCACGGCTCGGGGATGCTGTCTCAGCAGTCTTCTCGTCTTGCGTGGGATATGGGCCCCACGTCACAGGACAGGAAAATAAAAATTCCCAGCTGATCACCATAACCTACACAATCTATGCGTACAGGTCTGAGCAACAGAAAGATCCAGAAACTAAAAAAAAAAAAAAATAAACATCTAACCTACACAATCGTGTTGGTTAGGTTGTCAGGACCTAAAAATTTACCTACACAAATGAGTGTGCTGGGTCTGAAACATCGAAGTATATAACACAACTGGAATGCTAGGTACGTGTTCACGAAAGCGCGCTGTTGTGGCAGCCTTCCCGCACCAACATGGGGGACCCAGCGGATTTTAGCCAATTCATCGAATAGTGCGCAAAGTTGTTAACTCGCTCCTAGCATTCAATAACAAAGATTAAGTACAAATAATGTTTATATATTAGTATTCTGCATTAAATGCAGAATCTAATGGTATAAATAAATTTTACTTTTGATTTAAAATAGAATTTCGATAGTTAAAAAGAGTTAACAATTTTTACATTGTGACATGAAAAAGTTAGTATGCGAGGAAGTATTTTATTTTTGGATCAGAAGAAAACTGTAAGCGACGAAGTTGTAGTTTAAGAGATGATTTTTAACATGTGATCAAGAAATTTACAATTAAGTTTGTAGTTTGTTTGTAGTATAGTGATTAATAGCGCGACGAGGTTGATTTAATGTCGCACCAACCTCCTCAGTCCAGCAACTCTTTATGTTTTTGCTACTCGATCATTCTAAAGCTAAATAAATTTTAACATTTTTAATAGTTGATATAAATTAAAGAATACAACTAACTATTCTATTGATGTGATCATATATTTCATTTATTTGCAAAAGATAAATATCAATACCGGTACCGGACTGCCGCGCGCCCATGAATGACACTGTTAGGGACACTGTTTTACAAAACGGTTTGTTTCTCCAATGCTAGGGACATTATGAATGAATGTAACAAAAATAAGTTAGGTGTAAGGCAGAGATTGAAGAAATTGGTTTTGTTTCACAACATGTAGGCTAATGCAACCTTTGTACTATATTTAAGCACGATTGTGGACAGTTAAACATATTCTTAAAAGTAATGTTTAGTATTATTAACCAAACCCTTTTCTCTTATGTGTGATGATATGAATTTTAAAACATATACAGAATAACAATGACACTCAAAACACGTTTTACTAATCGTGTATTTACAACATTATACAAATACTCATATTGTCAAAGGAACACGACTAACAATTCGATTTGTAAATTTATTATTCAATTTTTGTTATTGTAAATACTTCCTAGGTTTAGTAATTAGGACCTTATCAATTATTTGATCTGAGCCTTAATATTTGAAATTTCTCATTAATTACCAAACAAAGCAGATAATACACGATCCCTTGTTACATTTAAACAAAGGGGGATTACCAGTCCCTGTCCCTGTATCTATAGTCTACATTTTATATTTTAATTTACGGTAACATTGTATGTAAATAGTTTACCTAGAAGGTGATAATTCAGTATTTAGTTATGTGTTACCTGTAATAAAAATGAATTTAATATAACTACCTGGTTGTACTCAAAACGTTTCTGGGAGTACCGTAAACATAAAGATCAGCGGAACCAGTGAGAACGGCCCGCGGCGCAATTTATAAATAACCTCTTTGCGTTACTAATTATTCCATTACACACGACTAGAAAATTTTATTTGAAATTGCTTGGTTATATGCTGAAGATCATCTCATTAGCTACAGTTTTCTCGCTTGAAGTTTGCTTCTGACCAAAAAATTAAAAAAATCCTAGCTTAGTAACTTTTTCATGTCAAGGTGTGATATTTGTTTAACATTTTTAGTTGTTAAAATTCGAATTACGATTTAAATAAGATTATATTTATACTGTCAGATTCTGCAGTTAATGCAGATTCTGAATATTATATAACTTTAATTGCAGTCAACCTTTTGTATGCACGGCCAGGAGCGTATTAACAACCGCGTGCACGGCTTGAGGAACTAACATATCTGCGTTGGGTCCCCCATAGTGGTGGAGGAAGGTTACTGAAACGGCGCGCTTTTTATCCCACATCTCCTATCTACCCGGTGTTCCAGTTGTGTTATATACTTCGATGGTCTGAAAGGGTTAAGAGAGCATTTTATTTAGACACGTGATCACTTAGCATCGCCCACTTCCTGCCGATCTAGTCGTCCAGTTAAACCGATGTGCTGATAACAATTGTCCGGTTAAAGAGATGTCATTTCTGCCGAGTGTAGTCCGGTTAAACCGATGTCCGGTTAAAAGGTGTCCGGATAAGAGGGAGTCTACTGTGATAATAAATTTGTTTATTAACAAAAAAATATAAAAACTTGGCCAAAGGTATTTCAAACTATGCTTTTAGTGAATTTTCTATATAGGGAATGAGCTAATAGGTACCATAGGTCTCATGGTAAGACCTGGACCCGGGACTGATTGAGAGGGTCAGAGGGGATGAGAGGGTCTGATCCTTTGGGACCCCCCTGTCCCAAATTCCAAAAACACGATCCGTTCAAATTCATATATATAAATATTAAAACATATTTTAATAAATAATTTTACTTGGGTACTAAGTTTATTAATGTTTAATCTTTATTTATATATATATATAAATATTTATTTATATAGGTACATTTTAAATATGTGTCCGTTAGCACGATAACTTAAGCAAAAATGTTGCTGAAATTTGGTGTAAACCTACATTCATTCTAACGATTTTGCGAACCAGCATGATCGGACAATGTGAACAGGGGTTTATGGGGGCTTTTATGGTGTAAAATGGGGTTTCACGTTTTTCACCTAGAAAACATAGGTAACATTTTGCAATTTCTTTCCAGACCATTTTGTTGACCTCTAAAAAGCAAATAATTTAGTATATTAAAGCATTGTTGTACATGCCTAACGGTTACAGATAAAATTCCAAAAAACTGTAAATTTAAATTGTATTATTCTTATGGAGAATAAATAAACTGTAGCAGCTTGCTTGTCTATGGACATATCTTAATCAAATTTGGAAAATTTGTTTAGTTCA